ATTAAAATAAGAGGTCCAGAGCCACATCATTATGTATAAAACAATTGTAAGAATTTCGTATTCAAATATCAAAAACTGAAATAAATGGGCAAATATTGCATAACACATCTGCAAATCTATATATGTAAGAGACAAAAACGAAGAAATGACAGAAGGATTAGGGTTTGGAGGTTGTACCGACGAAGACGAGCCTCCATGAGAGACTCTTCGCCTTACGATGCTCAACATCATTACTCTTGATCTCTTAACACTGATTTCAAAATTAAAAGAGTTCACAAATGTCAATTAACATAGAATACATGAAGAATGGTACACAAATCACAAACATGCATATAAGAAACAGAGAAATGTCGACATTGAAACAGATCTTAGAGGAATTAATCGAGAACAAATTGAAGAGGTTTCACCTCGTTGAAGGAGGCTATGATTCTTCGAATATCGCTAGATCAAAATCGTAGGGTTTTGAGAGAGAGAGAGAGAGAGATGCTCAACCTCGAGAGCGTGGCTCAGTGTTCAAACGATCGCTGGAGCATATGACTTTAGTATGGTTTTTTTGTCGCCGCTAAAGCATAGAGCATGCAAGGAAGGAATAACTAAAGATAAATTACACTTGGCGTCCTTTATCTTTGGTAATTCTTTACTTTAGCCTTTTGAAATTTATTTTTTTATTTTATTTTCATCCTTCATATTTTAATTTTTTAGGAGCTTTTTTGATAAATTCATTTTTTAAGAGCTTTATTCCATCCAACCCATATTCTTTTTTACTATTCCATTAGGTCCAATTTGAGATAAGAAGACCAAAATACCCTTTTCATCTACTTATGTTTCATTTAGTTCACATTATTTTCTTATGTTTCAATAAGTCCTATGGGTGACATAATTACTAAAATACCTTAATGTGAATGTTCACACCATCAATATAAATGTTTTATATCGTCAATGTGTAGGGGTCCGACTCATGTCGATTCTCGTGGGTGCCCGAAAAAATTCGAGTCAGACCGGGCCGGCCCACAAGCAAAAAAAAAAAGGCCCGGCTCAGCCCGTTGATAATATGAATATTCACATTGACAAGTTAACATTCACATTGATATGAGTGTAAAATTGGTCTGCGGCCCGTGGGCGGCCCGAACAAACTTCATTTTTTTTCTCTATTTTATTAAAATATAATTTTTAATTATAAATTTTTAAAAAATAAAAATCATAAATGTGTATTGCAGTCCCTAAATAAAACAAAGCAAAAAAACAAAAAAGACTTATAAGGGAGCTACAATGAGAGCATCTCTAATAGAATTCTTAAATTCCATCCTTACCTATATTTAGGGGTGGGCGCGGGTCGGTTGCGGCCACGGAACCTCCAATCCGCTATTCGTTCGCCAGATTGGCGGATTGAAGAAAATAAATCCGCATCCGTCCGCCAATTCGGCGGATGTTGATTGAGCGGATTGGCGGTTTGGCGGATGGATGTGAATCGGTTTGGCGGTTTAAAATTTTATAAATTTTCAATATAATTCAACTTGTGAAATATGAAAAAAAAAAAAAAAGAAAGAAAGTATTACAGTCAATGACTTAAAAAAGTATTACAATCACTATATGCCTTATCTAAAGAAAGAAAGTTTAAAACTTTATAATATCACGATCACTGCATGCCTCATCCACATATTATAATCACAGCATGATTCATCCACATAAAGTATTACAATCCGTGATTCTTAAAATATAATAACAATTCAAACCACCAAAACCATGAACAGAACAGTAGTAGAGATTGTATGTCTCTGTATTGTTACATCTATATATGTTTTTGAAAACAAAAACCAACCAGCATATATCATATTTTCTATTTATTATTTTTAGATTTAGATTTAAAAACCAAAAAATATAGATAAATAATAAGTTTATTTTTTCAATTCAAAAAATATATTCAAATTGAAAACTTTTTTTCAACATAATATTTAAACTCTTTTTCAATTGAAAACACAAACATAATATTTAAACAAATTGAAAACACAAAATCTTATAAATTACTAGGGGTGCTCGTGGTTTGGCGGTTCGGTTGTGGCCAAATAAATCTCAAATCCACCATCCGTCCGCCAAATTGGCAGATTAAAGAAAATCAATCCACAATCGTTCGCTCGTAATCACGCATCCGTCCAAAATGCGGCGGATCGGTTCGGTTCGTTCGGTTTTGGCGGATCGGTATATCCGCTGCTCACCCCTACCTATATTTAAGTGATTAGTGGTTCCCTATACCCTTCCATTAGAGCCTTCAAACACTTCCCTAAGATAGGAATTGTTGGGAGTCACTGTAGCTCCCTTTTAATTTTATTTTTTATTTTTGCTTTGTTTGTTTAGGGACTGCAATACATATTTATGATTTTTATTTTTATTTTAAATTTATAATTAAAAATTATATTTTAATAAAATAGAGAAAAAATAGGGAGTTTGTTAATAGAATAGAGAAATAATAGGGAGTTTGTTGGGAGAAATAAATGAAAAAGTGATTCTTAAAATAGGGGATGAATTTTTTAATAATATTTTAGGGTAAAATTTAGGTAATCTGATAGGGATGCTCTAACTCTCTACAAATAGAGAGTCACTATAACAATTTATATTTTAAGAAAATATTTAAGGGCTTTAATAGAAGGGAACTGGGAGCTACTAATCCCTTAAAATAGATAAGGATGGAATATAAGAGTTCTATTAAGATGCTCTAATTTACTCAATTAAAAGTTGGCTATCGAGTTAAAACGGTGTCGTTTATTAATTTAAAATTGGAAATCCAGTTGTGTCGTTTCTGAAATGAGGCCCATTTGAGCTAGAACATCTTTATAGGTGGCCCTTTATGTGCAACCGACTTCAAGGCTAGGCCCAAGTAATTTGACAAATTACCCAATACACAATTAAGAATAAATTACTTAATGAACTCGTGACGTAAATAATTTTAATTTTTACTTATTTTGAAATTTGTTAGTTTTGTAAGCTTAGTTTTCGATAAATTTATATTTCGGTAATGCTATGTAGCTCGAAAGAGCTTCCCCGAATTTCCCCCAAAACGAAAACGATGCCGTTTTCGGCGTTTTCATTTTTTTTTTTTTTTTAGAAGAAAAAGAAGAAAATCAGAAGGAAGAAGAAGAAGGAAGGAGGAAGGAGGAGGAGGAGGGACTGGAGGGGGCCAACAAATTGGGCTGGAGGCAGAGAAGGGGCGGGGGCTGCGAGGTAGAGGCTGCAATGACGATCGGCGGAGGCGGGGCTATGACGATGGGCAGAGGCGACGGCGGGCGGAGGGTGCTGCGACGACGACCTGCCTCCTCTCTCTCTCTCTCTTTCTCTCTCTCCCTCTCCCTCTCCTTCTCCTCTCCCTCTGTTTCAGACCTGCACGGATTCAAAAAACCAATCCAAACCTATCGGATTGGACTGGACTGGATCGGATTACGGATTTCACGGATTCCTTGCTCAGCCCTACAAATTACCCAATACGCAATTAAGAATAAATTACTTAATGAACTCGTGACGTAAATAATTTTAATTTTTACTAATTTTGAAATTTGTTAGTTTTGTAAGCTTAGTTTTCGATAAATTTATATTTTTATAAAAAATAATTATTTAAACTCAACTTTATTAAAAAAAAACAGATTGATTCGAAAGAATAATTAAGTCAAATTTAAATATATTTTCAAAATGATTGAGATTTCAAATATAAAGCTTAAACAAATCTACTACTCTTTATGCATTTAGAAGCCTAACTAAAATTGGCATGAGCATTCTCATAGGATTCCAAAAAACAAGCTGTGGAAGTTGGGTGTGGCTGTTGTGATGCAGCTGTGGAAACATTGATCCCTTGTGTTAAGGAGTGTGATGTGGCGCAACAAGTTTGGGCTTTGAGTCCACTTCCGCTAGTTTCGGGTATTAGGTTTGGTACTGCCTTCTATCAATGGGCGGTTGGGTTCGAAAAGCAAGTTGATGAGGCAGTTTTGGGCTGTTCTTTGGGATGTGTTGGGTTTTACGGACTGCCGGAAACCAAGCTATTTTCAATAATGTTAATCGGGTAGCAATGGAGATTGTCCATGAAATTTAGGGAAAATTATTCAATAATACTCTTTAACTAATCATTATTTAATATGCTTCATCAATTACCTAACACAATACATTACTTATTCACATTCTTCATTTATCACAATGTTATGAAATATCACATGCCTATATTCTAGGATTACTGAATAATTATCTGTAATTTAGTACAGGAATTCTGTCAAGTAAGAGCTCGAGTGCAAGGTATTCGGGTATGTGCTAATCCGGAGAAATGGAGGCCACCAGCAGATGGAGTGTTCAAGATTAATTTCGACACGGCAGTGTTTGGAGAGCTGGAAGCCATTGGGGTGGTGTGATAGTTCGTGATGCTCACGGCCAGGTTATTGCCTCCATGTCGGAAGGACTTCAACATTGGGTAGAAGTGGACTGTGCTGATGCTTTGGCGGCGGCTAGAGCCGTTGAATTTGCTGCAAAGCTGGGTTTAGGTCCTATACATTTGGAAGGGGATTCGTTGGCTATTATCGAATCATTCCAAAGTGATGGACTCATGTTATCTTCTTTTGGGCATATTCTCCAAGGTGCTATTAGTGCAAGACGATGCTTTCCCAAGTTTTTGCTGCTTTCATGTGCTGCGAGGTGGTAATAAGGCTGCTCACGTGTCGCATGATGGGTTGCGTGAATGGCTTGAGTGTGGATGGAAGATGTGCCTGCTGAGTTATTCAGAATTATTCGGTTTTAGTCGGTTTAGTTCTACTTACTTACCTTTCTAAAAAAAATGAGAACAAGCCAATTAATAGTGACTAGCTATGTTTGTTATTACATCTGTTCAAGATTAATTTCGACGTTCGGCTTATTCTTACTTAAAACAAAATATAGGGTTTAATCTTACTACAAAACAAAATATCCATAAACAGTTGATAATGCATCTAAAACTTTAGAATATCTAAAACTATAAAACAAAACACATGGCCTATTTTACTTAAAAAAGTTTATTACTTCATTAGAATTTAGAGTGGAAACCAAACATCCATAAACAGTTGATAATGCAAATAAAAGACAAACTAGTAGTAGTAGACAATAGTAATAACAATTGGAGACATATGGTTCTCTCCTCCTCAAGGCAGTCCATCTCCACCTCCGAGGCCTCCACCAGCTCCTCCACCGAATCCTCCGCCAGCACCACCGCCAAGTCCTCCACCAGCACCACCGCCACCACCAAACCCTCCACCAGCACCACCGCCAGCTCCCCCACCAAGTCCACCCCCACTTCCAAACCCACCACCAGTTCCTCCTCCAAACCCAGACCCACCACCTAATCCTCCACCAGCACCAAGCCCTCCACCACCACCTCCTCCGAGTCCACCGCCAGCCCCCCCTCCTAATCCACCTCCGCCTCCTAACCCACCACCCTTAAAGAATGTTTTCTCGTCCTCAAAAGAACCCTTTGAGCTCACAAGCTTTCTTGCATTGGTGGTGCAAACAAGAGCACCCACAAGAACAAGAATGAGAAACCTGAAACTCATCTTTTTGTTGAATGTGAAGAAGAAGATGAGTTTGATTGTGGTGAGCAATGAGGAGTTTGGAGACGGATTATATAGAGAGATATGAGAAGGGTAAATGATGATGTAGAAGAGAGTCCGTATACATTGGTTGAAAATAGTGAAGTTTATTATTTTGAGCAATAATGTTAGGTATCATGAAAAGTCTTTTATGAAAATGATCATGAAAGATTTGTGGCATTTGGATTACACTTAGAATAAAATACCATGCACTAATCAAGGTAATCTAAGAGTTACAAATCTTTCATGATCATTTTCATAAAAGACTTTTCATGATCCTTAATATTTCTCTATTTTGAATGGGACAGTCATTATACTTTCAATAATGCTATTCTATTCTAAAAATTAAATTTACTTTGTATAGTAATTCTCTCTTTATTAGTCAATTATCTCGCATCATTGAATCTAAAAAACTAAGCCTAAAAAATGATATGATATCCACATATTTAGACCAATTATATTTTATGTATTGTTGATGTATTAAAAAAAATATGCAATAAGTTTTTTATTTTTTTATTTTTAAGAAGAGGACCGTTGAGAGAGGGGTTTTAAATAAGATCATCTTATCTATCTGAAAACCACGTTGGCAAGAGTAAATGCAATCTCTATTCTCTCAACTGTATCTGTTTTTGACGAAGAGAGAAACAGCTTGGCCCCTTCACTGACAATCTCCAACTAGAGTTATCAATTTCTTTGGTGTTGTGGGGGCACGTCGACTTTTTGATCTAGCATTTACACGAGTTTAGCACCTGTTTTTTTAGACTCTGTCTTCAGTGGTCTGTATTCTTACACATCTCTCTTCACATTTCTTGTGTTGTCTTGTAAGTGGTAATAACAATGCCGAAAGGTATTTTGAGCAGTAAATACAGAATTGAAAATAAAGATTCAAGTTTTGAAAATCACATGTCCTCTTTAAACAATGAAAAATGATGTAATAGTCTATTTTTTAAATTTAATGATATAAAAAAAAACGATGGATTGATACATATATATAAAAACAAAATATCTTAAATATTTTAATAGACCGTCACATTATTGAATTTGAGAAGTTAGTCTAATTTTTAAGTTAGAGTAACACTACTCTTAAATATTATTCACTCTGTTAGTTTTAGTTTTTAGAATTCATTTTTTATAAAATTTTACTATTTCGTTTTCTGAATTTTTTTGTTTTCACTTAATTTTTTTAATATTTTAAGCAAATTTTTAAAATTTTTAGACACACCTCACATAAATATACTTAAAAATATATAGTATTTATGAAAAAAATCTTTAAAAAAATCAAAAATACCAGAAATACAAAAAAAAAAACAAAAATTTAGTACATTTTTTTTGTATTTTTGTATATTTATTCATTTTATAAAATATTTTTTCACGAATATTTTACTATTTAGATACATCTAAGTAAAGTACATATAAAAAGTAAAAAAAAAATACTTAAAAATTTAAAAATATTCACTAAAATAAAAAAAAATACGAAAAATAAAAAATTAATTTTTAAAAACTAAAACAAAACACAATGATTATTATTATTTTAGTGAGACTTGGCTATTACTCTCAATGGAAGTGTTGTATACATTTGTTGCACTATTTGGACAGAGTAATTGGGTTGGAAAAATATAAATATGATATGACAATATAGCATATAAGGATTTTAGGTATTAATTTTTTTTAAATAATTTTTTTTTTGTAATAAATTTTTAGAGACTAATTCCTGTGGTTGAGATTGTCATTGCTAAAAGATTATGCCAAAAGGCAAAACAAAAAATAAAAAAAATTAGCAACAAAATTTTAAAAATATAGTTAATAAATATACTTTTACAGACAAAATAATTTAAGATTAAAAAGGTTTACTTTTTTAGGCAAAAAATGAATAGTAATTCATTACTAAATATCTAATTTTGTTATTAAAAATGTAATAATACACTTTTAATAACTAAAATATTTCGGATTGTTTTGGCAACATGCATAAAAAAATAAAAAATAAAAAAATCAATTTTTAACCCATTTTAAGTCACATCACCTCTCACATAAAACAATGAAAAAAATTTAAAAAACTAACTTTTAACCATCTTTCCAAAACAATTTTCGTCTCTAACTTTTTTTCTTCTAAATTCTTAATTTGTTGTAACGTGTATATATTGAGATCAAAGTCACTCCTATAAAATTTAACAATGTTAAGAACATATAATTTAAATATAAAATTAGAACCCAAAAAAATATAGATGAACAAGATTTTAGTTGGACTCATTTTTTAAAAAATTTATCTAATCATTTGTTTTATATTTAGATCTCGTTTGTTAATTATATATTTTAGCTAAAAAGTTTAAAAAAAATCATTATAAATTTTTATATCACTCTCTTTATTTTTCTATATATTTTTAAAATAATTATTAAAATAATCTATTTTCAAACGAGATCTAAATTCTATTTAATTTATTTGTTATTAGATTTATTGCACACCAAAAATTTGATTGATTGAAATATGCATTTATGAGAGTACGATGCTAACGACTCACTGAACTAGTCGTCCACACCATGTGGCATCATAAATTTATGACATTGTGGGTCGTATAGCAGTTTAATTAGAATTTAAAGCCTAGTCAATTTGTCCATATTATTGGTGTTTGGCGTAAATGAGATTTATTTATTTTATTTTTTTTATAACCAAGTGTCCGGATCAGTACCCCTTCGAAGTATCGTACCTCGACAAATCTCCTAGTGAGGAGCATACTCCTAGGTTCCTAATCCCTTGCTCTTAACCAACTGGGCTACCCTTACGGGTTAATGCGATTTATTTATAATTTTATCTTTATATTTTGTAAGAGATTTTTGGATTGATAAATGAAGAATGTAGGATGAATTTGAAAACTATTTAGTAGTTATTCTATAATAACGGTTTAGCAATAATTTATGGGTTAATTACATTAAAAATATTATTTTATCCTATTTATTTATGAACTTGTACATATTAATTCACTAATATATATCTTTTAGAAGTGATATAATTTTATAATTAAAAAGTCAAAATGTACGAGTTCACATATAAGAGAAACTCGCTAATAATTGAGAAAGTTTTAATATAATTAATCCATTATTTTATGAGTAATGTTGAAAAATAACAAAACTTGTGACAAATTTTAAATGGTGTGTTTTATATAATGAAATATTAGCATATCACCCGTGCTATGCACAGATTGTGTTTACAATTATCTATATATATGTGAATTGCAATTTTTAAATGTTTTCTTTTTTTCGTTTTTTATATTATATTAAAGTTTATTATTTTGATAATAATCATATGTGTTAGACTTTTTAAGGAATTAAATGTCTTTTTTTTATTATATTATATTAAATTTTAATATTTTGATAATAATCATATGTGTTAGATTTTTCAAGAAATTTTTTTTATACTTGTTCTTAATGCATTAAAGTGTTATTATGAGGGATAATAATCATATGTGTTGGGACTTTTCAAGAAATTCATATGTTTTGGATTTCAAATAATTTTTTTTATGCGTGCTCTTAATGCATTAAAGTGTTGTTATGAGGGTAAGACTTGGGGGTTGGGAGAAGTTAATAAACGCTAAGGTTTTTTTATTTTTTTAAATCAAAAAATCAATAAAATTAGATTGGGAGATTGGAGCTCCCACAAGGCTTGGGGTTAAAAATCCCATTTTGCTTAATATATAGTACTAGCCTATCACCCGTGCTATGCACGGGATAATTATAAATATTTATATTTGTTTTAGATTTTTTTTAATATATAAATTATGTTTTTTTAAGATTTTTTATAAAAATAATTTAACAATCTTATCACTAATCATAGTGTACGAGAGGAGTTGAAAACGATACTGTAGTAACTATACACAGATTGTATCTATAATTATTTGTATGGAGGGATTTTAAATGCTGATCAAGGGATTTTGACCAAATCAATAAATGCAGGCATGTGGAAAGACATGTAGATTGAAAAAAGTTAATAAATGTTGATCAGGAGATTTTGACCAAATCAATAAATGCTGAGTTTTTTTTTTTTAAATAAAAAATTTAGAAATTCAAATTGAGATTATTTAGAGCCATTGAACAAACTACAATCACTTACAATTTTTTTTCAAAAAACACAGTGAGTTAAAAAAATCAATTACAATTTTTTTTTCAAAATACAATCTAATCATTATCAATAATTGGTACTTTAAAAACCAAATCAGAAAAAAATCAAATCAAATCAAATCACAAATATTTTTATGCTATCTAACTACAATCATATTTTTTTCATAAATAATTGTAAAGAAAAACCATTAAAACAGTAAATAAAAGATTAAATCACATTAAAAAAAAGAACCATGGAACACTACAATCGCATCACATTTTTCTCATAATAAAATAAATAAATAAAAAAAAAGAACTATTAAACTAATTATAATCACATTAAAAAAAAGAATCATTCAACTAATTATAATCACATTTTTCTCTTTGTGATGTTTATGTTTATATAACTTCAGTCATATTAAAAATAAAATTAAAATAGTAAATAAAAATTAAATAACATTAAAAAAAACCCATTGAACTAACTACAACAATCATATTAAAAAAAGAGCCATTGAAACAAACTACAATCACATCACATTACAATCGCATTTTTTTTCTTTGTGAGTGTTTATGTTTAATTAACTTCAATCATATTAAAAATAAAATTAAAATAGTAAATAAAAAGATTAAATAACATTAAAAAAAAACCATTGAACTAACTACAACAATCATTATTAAAAAAAAAGAGCCATTGAACAAACTATAATCACATTACATTTTTCCCAATAAAAAATAAATAAATGAAAAAAGAACTATTAAACTAACTATAATCACATTAAAAAAAAAGAATCACTCAACTAATTATAATCACATTTTTCTCTTGTGAAGATTTATATTTATCTAACTTCAATCATATTAAAAAATCAAATTATAATTTTTTATTCGCTAGACAAATCACAAATATTTTTAT